TATGTTATCTACTTGTAATTTCTTTATTTTAACAAACTAATATCATTTTTATGTTTTATATATTTTATTAATATTAGTTTTTTTAAATTGTTAAGCTAAACATGGTTCACATAGGATTAGGATAAGATATGATTATGATTAGGATAGATTAAGATATAAATAAAATATTCAAAATAGTGAAGGGTAATATTGACCATTGAAAATTAGAATTTGATTATAGATAAGGTAGTTCAAACTATAAAGGGGTATATTTGTCTAAAAAAGATTTTCCGAACTCGTGCTTTAAAAGAAGTATGATTTCAAAAATTAAAACAAAAGAAAATATTGCCTCACTTAATAAGTGTGTGTATAGTTTTTATTTTAAAATTTCAAATTCAAATTAGGAAAGGACACGTGATATTTCTTGAGAACTAATGCTAATAATAAGTTACAAATTTGTTTTATATAAAAGAAGAATTTAAACCATTTCTTTTTCCATCTCTACCCTTTTATGTAATTTAGTTTATTCATCCGTTCACAGAACAATAGATCTAAATTTTCTTTATTTATAATTTCTCACTTGATTATTCTGCCCATTTAGGATTTTAATTCGCATCTTAATTTGATAGCTAAGGTATATTGTAACAATAGTAACCAATAATCTATTTTTAATAAAGATAAGATTTTTGCATGCAAACATCACTTATTTATCCTCTCTATAAACGGTTAATATGGGTAAATTTCACCAAACTCCCAATAAGTTTGGTGTTTGATATTAAATTCCTAATATGTTTGAAACTCTAACTAAAAATACCCTCAAAAAATTTTGGTAGAAAGTTTCTAAACTAACATTTTCAATTAACATGTGGTCAGATGACATAAATGCCCCAATAAATTTTGGAATATACTACCTAATAAGTTTTTAATTTTGTCACTTAACACCCAAAATCTTTGATAAAAAATCCCTAATAATTGTTGTTTATTACTTTCTGGCTTCTATATATTTTTGGGATTTTAGGAGGTTATTTCTAATTATTAGCTTTTAAAAGAGATTGTTTGTAATTTTTTGTTTTTGCAATCAGCAATTTATAATATTAAATTTTTTTGGGTAATTCTCTTTTTTTTTTGAATTTTTAGGTATTTTTGCATTTTTTATAGATTTGTCAAAGGCTTTTTGTAGTTTTAGATTTTAAGGGACCGCTTGTAATTGTTATATTGTTTAAGAGATCTATTTGTTATTTTGCAGTTTTCAGGGATTGTCTATTACTTTTTAGATTTTAAGATGGTGATTAATAATTTTTGGATTTTCCTAGGGGTTCATTGTAATTTGTAGAATTTGAAAGGGTTTTTTTCATAGTTTTTAGATTTTTTAGGGAATCATATATAGTTTTATATTTTTCAGGTGGTTATTTATAATTTTTTCTATTTTTAAAGGGTTGTTTGTAATTTTATTGGTTACTTCGCAAATAGTAAACCACTAATTATGAACCACTAATCCTTTCTTTATATGTTAAAGAAAAGATAATTAAAAATTATAATTATTAGTTTTTTAATTATAAATAACAAAAGAAATTTATAAAATATAATTATTTGTTTTTTGAATTACTAAAAATTGAGTCTGCTTGGTTTGGTCTGAGATCATAGAAAAAGCATCGCATTGACAATGGCAGGCGGTCTATCAACACCCCTTCGATGGCTAAGTCAGATCCTTGATAAGATATCATAAGCAAAAAGTAAATAGGCTAGAGTTTTAGAAGAAGACGGCCCTTAACCTAGGTCCTAGAGGCAAGCCTTTGTCAAAGGTCATCATGTCTATTTCTTTGTTAATCGGTTCTCAGCTTAGGCAGGATGGGCATTTATACTGATTGAGTAGGGCAGATCAGCCTCCACATGTGTCACCATCCGACAGCCGAGATTGTCGCGGTGTATAATTGGCCCTTGAAGTAGTTATTTAGCCTGCAATGTATTTACTTAGCATAGGATGGTACAATGATGTACGTGTAGATTGACCAGTTATAGAAGTCAGCAACTAGGGAGATTGGTTATCTGATCAATATCTCCTAAAATGGTATGTTGAGAAAAAGACAGATTCGAATCAATCGTCTCTAATTAGGACATGCCGTCGTAGGAATTAGGCCGGATTGAGATAAGACATATTAATCGACATATGTTGAGACCAGTTATACCTGGGCCTCAGAGTCAGGTTAACGTGCAGTGACCCTATTGCATGTTGCGTAGTACGCATGTCCTATACTCTAAAGAGTTAAAAGTGTATATCTAGCTGATCGAGTCAGCATGTCGTCGCGAAGTGGTCTGGCTAACCCAATTGTAAAATCTAGATCATGTGCATAACAACTTCCGACTTCCTTCGTGTAAAACTCAGGAGGGTCTGGTGAGAAACGCCAAAACGTTTGTAAGGGGTTTTATGAAGTCTACCCGGACTAGTTCAGAAAAACAACTTCGTCGAGGACCAAAAGG